CTGAAATTGCACTATCTCGAGCGCAGCACCCTGGGAACGACCTTTCCACGTGGCAAATTTATTTATATATTATTCTATTTACTCTCGATATGTACAGTCAGTATCCGCGCAGGCCGGTTGGAGAGGCGGTGACCGGCCAGTAGAAAACTCTGCCCGTTGTCCTGCACTCGCACGTCCTGGCTGTTTCGCCGTCGACCCATGCACGCCACCCGTCGCGAGCCTTCACTATCCCACCACCCATCTCGTCTCTCGTTCGCCTTCTGTTGCAGTACCCGTCGGTTCCGCCATTCCCAAGTGTCATTGTTTCCACGGCAAGGAGTCCGTCAGTTGCGGACTCCGTTGAGTACCAGTCCGATGTGCTGTGGCCCACGTTGATGCAGTGGCGGGACGAGCTCGCGCCGTCCGTGCCGTCCAGTCGTCGGCCGCGATGCAACACGATGTATGCAGTACCTCGCCAGCATTACAGACGTCCTCATGTCATTCCCTCCCGTGCCGTATGTCGGGTGGTGGAGCATTTCGTGACCTCGTTCTCGCCGTGATGGATGTCGAATAGGCGCGCGGAGCCGCGTATGCGTTCGCCCGACCTGTGCGCGGTGTTGGCCACGGTGGAGCATCTGGTGACGATGCAGCCGGTTCACACTCGACGGAACATCTCGACGTTCGCGCAACGAATGCGGTAATGATTACAGCGACCCGGGCTATGCCCGCCGTGCGCTTCGCGTAGGCGTAGTCGTAGTACGCAAGGGCCTACGGCGTACGTCGGCGGAGGCTAGTGAGGCGGGCACGGATCTCGGAGCTCCTGCGCTAGTTCGCCACACGGCGCTGATGGTCGAGATAGCAAGTGCGCCGACGTGGTTGCCGGCAAAGGACGGAGATCAACGCTTGGTACGACAAGCGTAGGCTGAAATGTGCTCGGCGGTGGCGAGGACGTTTTGAGCTCGTGAGGGCGAACATGACCGCGACCTGGCCGACAAGCTTGTCGTTGCGGAGTCTGGCTGTAGCGTAGGTGTCCGAGAGGCCGACGCGTGATCTTCGAGCAGTACTGGGTCGGGCTTTCCATTGAGTGTGGCACCGCGTTGAGCCTAGACGTGATACATCTGGTGAGTGATATATTCAGAATACGCGCATGACAAGAACATGCCTTGTTCACGTAGGCACGAACGCCTCTCGTCCGGGCCCGAGAGTGTATCTGCGACCTTCTGATACCTTGTCCTCCAGTCGTCGCCTCGTCGCACAAGTGGACACGCCGCCCAGAAGTTGGATAGCAAGCCCATAGCCGGCTTGCCGTGACTGACTGCGCGGACGCCAATACGGAGCGTGCTGATAGTTGGCGCGACTGTGGGTCGGTAGTACACAGATGGGCGTTATTCGGCTGGGTGCAATTTATATCCCGGTGCGGTCGTAGCATTTGGGCGACCCGCCAGGCGAGCTGGGTAAGCAAACGACGTCGACGTGCACAAGCGCGGACTAGACTGTCTGCGAACGGTGGGCACGAGGGTCTCGACACAGTTCTTGGTCCACGGTCGTCGTGTCTCGCAAACAGCTATCGTTTTCGTGAGCACTGAGGTACTTGACTGTACAGAAGGTGAGAAGACTTACGCGCTGACGCCAAGCAGAGCGTCTAGGAATCTCGTAGGGTCGTACACTCCCGAGGCAATGATGGCAGCAGCTAGGAGCTAGTGCCCGGTCGATTATGCGCAAGCCTTTCAAACTTGCTGTCGAGAGCACGCAAAGCAATGGGCGTCTCGGTGATGTCGCAGAGAGTTCAGCGGAAGTCGACGACGCGTGAACGGGCGATTGAGGGCATGACGCGCAGAGCATTTCTGGGAGTTCGGAGACGGTGCATTCTATACATCTAGAGTGATGCGAGATATGAGCAACAGCTACGTGGATAAAGTCCTGTGCGAAGTGAAGGTCGTTGCTGCGCTGGTGATGGCGGTCATGAACAGAGTCGCGCCTCGCCTCTGCGTGCGAGCGTAAGCGCGGATCCTCACCCGAGCGCTCCTGTCTCTGGCGGCCACCATGCCTGCATCGCCCACTGCTGGCGGGCAGGTTAACTTACCGCGCCAGTCTAATCCAGGAGGGCTACCCGGCACAATTGCGCTGCCAACGCACACGAATGCGAATAATGCAGACCCGACTTTATGCTATACCCCGGAAATGCCGAGTAGTACGCCTGCCTCAAGGTATGCATGTGTGAATTCATACGCCATCAATTTATTGGTAGTCGCGTCGTAGCATCAACTCAGAGCTCGAGCAGCACTCATACTTCATCCTCAACCCCGTCCTCTACCCCGTCCTCCACTCCCATCATTGATGTTCACCCCGGCATCTTCAACGCAGTCCAGCACGGGCACTTTGTCCACCAAGACGTCCTACACGACTGTTTTATCAACGAATCCCAGTCCGGCATCGACTCGCAAGAGCGAAGTCATCTATTGTATGTACGGTACGAGCCTGTACGTACTGTTACCACAGAGTGTAGTACAACGGCGGCAACCTCATTGCAGGGAGCGAATGCTGGTACGACGATCGCTACCAGCGCCAGGGTTTCCGCGTCGTCAAAAACATTGGGTGACCGAGGCAGCGTGCGACTCTACATGAGGTGCTCTGCGCGCAAGGTCGACTCGGAAGTCTGCAGCCCTTCTCCATGCTAGATGACAGACGCCGCAGCACTCGCTCTCATTCACCGCACTGCAAGAACAGCGGGTATTGTGAGTCTTAAGTCTACGAGGTCGTTGCGCGGTTGAGGTCTATACATCGTCATCAGCGGACGCGAGGCTTTACAACGAATGCTGTCAGACGCACGAACAGTACCATCCTCAGCGGTAACGCTTGGCACGCTGACGCGGAGGTCGTGCAGTCCGTGGCCTCATCATGGATCCGTTCTGGGCGTATGCGCTCCATGATGGCTCGTAACGACATCGCTCGCGCGGCCAGGCTAGACGGGGAGCGGGTTTGGTGCCTGCGCGAGGCTGCGCGTGAGATACGAGCGACGGGTGCGAACAGGCCGCGCCGACGACGAAGAAAAAGTATCCGCGAACGGAACGTGGTGAAAACCTGTGCATAACGTGTATGCTCGACGTCCTCGCAAGTGAAATGTGTCTCCGCGAGGTTGAGGCTGGTGAGCTTGAACGGTGTATGAGTCGTCCAGCATGTTCGATGGACGTTCCAGCTCTCCGCGGCCCGGTAATAGCGGCGCTTGCATGGGGTACGGGCGCAGGCATAGCGAAGCCTTGCCGCGAAGCTCGCGACGGTGGTCATTTGGCCGCTTTTATATGACGCCATCCGCGCGACGCAGACAGATCCCGCCCACCGACCCGCAACTGCGCGCGCGACTTGCCACGCCGTCGCAAACGGCAGGAGCCGCCGCGCTCATGAACCCAAGCGGGCGTCGCAGACGCGCTGACGGCCTGAACGCTTGCTGCCATCCTTGTATTCGCCCTTCGCCTAGCTTCACGAGAGGTATCTTGTCCCAAGGGATCGCGGATAGTCTTGCGAAGATGATCGACTCTTCTAAGCGCGATGACGGTGTTATGGTTAACGCGAAGTACATCCGTTGGCAGTTCTGTGTCTAGATGAGGTCGTTAGTATGTATATATAGGGCAGACATGAGTAGCGAGAACAAAAATAGGCGATACGCAGACTTCAAAGCGGTATTTCCGCCAAAGCGCGACGCTCTGCGACCAAGATGATGCTCGTCGGTATGAGAGACGAGCTCGTCATTAAACACGTCGTACAGGCTACCGCGCCGACGAGCCCAAGACTAAAGGAAATCGGAAATCGAGATATATAGGAGCGTTACATACTAGTTTTGCACGCTTTAATCCCTTTCCCAATTTTCCCAATACACGGCTTGCCCATCATCCCAGCCATCCATACCCAATCATCCTTCAGTCCGTCAAATCCTGCTCCCTATGATGCTAATTCGCAGATAGCACGTCTAAACGGACAGGACTTCGTTCACCATATACCGACCGCCTCGACGCGGTTGACATCCTCGGTCTTGTATCCTGTGCGTCTGGAGCAAGCTCCTTCCCTCTAACGCGCCCGGAAGCGACTTCGAAGATAACGACAGTCTGCTCTCAATCGTGCATGTCTATGGTAGCGGGACGTGACCTTGGTCAATGACCTCGGCGCGGTTGAGACGATTGGCGTCCCTGCCAAGCCGGTGGTGATATCGTTGGCTTTGGGCTGGATCGTGAAGCCGACCGGTACGCATTCGAGCACTCGGTGCAGGGGCGCAGGGTGCTGCTGGAGACAGTGAGGCCGGAAGACAGTCCAGTCACTTGGAGGACAGCGATGTTCGTTTGACGGGTGACATAGGAAGCTATGGGCTATTGCTGCATGTGGAGAACGGCTGGAGGTACGCGATAGGCGCAGTGTGTTGAGCGGACACGTCCAGCAGTGAAAGAAGGCCCATGTATACGAGAGATATGGCAAGTTGTTGGTTGAGATGGTGGTGGTAGGAGAAAAGACGCGTATCAAGTGCCATTGCTCTCGGTTCACACAAGTATGGCGGCCACTATCGGTAAAGCACGCTCGCCGCTCGCGCAGTAGTCGTGGTGGTGGTGCACAAGAGAGAGCCGTCAAACACCATTTCGGCGCGCACTTGCTATCAAGAATCCACGCCACCCCGCGCTGCTTGTATTCTATGATCCAAATGTGATGCATACAGACTGTAATACAATGGAGTACAACGCAACAAGCATATGAACAATGAGTGGCCACTATCTACGACAAATTGAATCCAGCGCCAGCAAACAAAGCTTGCAGCAACTTTTGCTTCAACGCGGTCGATGACGAGTATCGAGGCATCTATCAATGTACATCAGCACAGACCAAGATGCGCACTATCGTGTCTACGCACCTTGAGTAGGTTAAAACAGGTACTTGCCGTTGGCAAGCGCGTCTCGTCCCCGCCCGAATCGCGTATGCAGAAGGGCGGATTCAATTCCTTGAACCCTCTGTGGATCGATTGAGTACAGATCCAGAGCGCGAGGGTGAAGTACGTACAGTAATGGAGGTCTTCCAACACTCGTCACGAAGCGAAGCAGCGCGCGCTGCTGCTCGTCTGTCAGACTCTTGACGACCTATATGAACACATATTCAGCACCATCCCAACGAGATTTGAGAATGTTCGGTACACTCCAGAACGCGGCAACAGTCGGGTGAGCGTTGTCGAATAAGCCACCGTACTTCGTATGCGCGCGCCAGTCGTCGATGTCGATGGGTGTGTCCACACCACCAAGGAGCACTTGTAGCTCCTGCTGATTGAACATTCTAAGCAGTGCATCAGCAGTCCGTTCAAACGAGGAGGCAGCGAGTGCACACACCGTAACCACTTCGGGTCAATCATCTCCGAGAGGCCCTCAAAGAACGCTTCAGACTGGCGTTTGATCTGCTTCGTGAGGCGGAAGTGCGCTGTACGGAGGATGTACTCCAGTCGATTGTCGCGCGTGACGGGGATGTTGCTGCCATTCGGAACGAGGTCAATGGTCTTCGCGACGCCGAACTCTGCCAGACTCATCAGTTCGGCGGTGATCCAAGGGAGCGCGTAGAGGCGTACCTTCGACGGCGATAGTGAAGTTTAGGGAGAGATCCTCGGGATTGCCAGGGTAGCGCTTGAGGAAGAGCAAGCCGTTGTATAGCTCCGGATCCAGCGATTCGAGGTCGTCCAAGAAGCTAGACTTCCCGAGCCACTGGGAGAAATCAGCATACTCTGGTACGATATGTGCTCACGAGAGCGCACCTTAGCCAAGAAGAATCCGGCGAAGACAACGTTCACGAGAATGCCGTCGTAAATGGCCTTGCCAAGGATGCGTCCGATGAACTTGTACCAGGCCAAGCTATGTGCTGGGACATGCTCAGTGTCGAGGATGGGGAACAGAGGTAAATGAACGCACATTCTGTGGCATACGTATGTGGATTGGGATAGAGCTCGTTTCGCTTCGTCTCCAGCCAAAGACCGCGGTCGCTGTCGAAGACCTCCTTGCAAATCTCGGTCAAGAACTCCTTGAAAACGCCGCCACCGTCAATACCTTCCCTACGCAGAGCGAGCTGTTAGCCAGAAGATCAAATGTAGTACAGTCGTACGCACTCGACATCGCCAAACTGGTCAATAAAAGCTATCTGAACGTGTCCTTTCAGATCCGCCTCCCCAAGCTTGTCGAACCCATCCTCAGCGATATGTCCTCGGCGCACGCTCGCGCGCTGTGGCGCCCCTCCCGGCATCCCCCAACTTCGCCTAGCATGGGGGGATTCTTCACCGATTTGGGCGTGTGCGGCTTGATCTGCTTCTACGAAAGCGCGCAGTATACGGAAACGCGTGGCGAAGGGGATGGCGAAGGGGATATTGTTGAGTACGCCGAGGCGGGGGCTGAGCGCTGCAACTTGTCGAGATGTAAGAGCGCGAGTTCCGGAAGGCTGTGAGATATGTGCATCTTCGGCACTACAAGAACTATGAGTCAAAAAGATGAAAGAGATGCGTAGTAGACGCACATTGCAGCTTCGATAAAGGACTGCATGTCGAAGCGGCCCGGTGCGAGCCAGTGATCCGGCGGCGTGAATGGTCGACGGGAGCTGCGTGACGATTAGTGAGTGTATACATTGCACGAGTAGCTGTGCAACGCACTCTCTGGCGTGTATAGCAACGAGCGCCTTCGTCAACTTCTCCCTAACAGCATCCCACCTCAGGCTTGTCCCCGGGGCGCACGCATCTTGCAACGCGGCCTGGTCATCGCGCCAGTAAAGTGTAAAGGCGATGTTGAGCAGCCGACGAGAGAACGAGACGACCTCGTCTATCGAGAGCGGATTGCGTGGTGTGTCGGTCTTGACTGATGAAGGACGATCGCTGGCGAAGAACTCGTCGTCGGCCATCGTGAGCAGTGCTTGGGCGTATAGGTCGTTAAGGATGAGAAGCGGAGGCCAATGAGCGGCATTTGCTGGATCTGAATATAGATGTTAGAGGAAGGAGGGCGGGCGCGTATTGTGCGGGGGAAGGTATTACTCACCCATAAGCACTGAGAGGCCTTCATCGCGTCCAAGTGGGCTACTACGAACATAGCCACGGTACAACTCCCGAAACACGCCTCCGCCTGCAATCATGACGCCCGTGAGCACACCACTTGCGCGCGCAGGCCATACGGTGCAGAGTGCGAGGAGGTAATCGAAGAACGCTGGTCTTGATGCCGCAAAGTGACCCGAAGCCGCAAGGAGCGCTTTGATGTGCGAGTCCGCCGCAATCGTCTGCAATCTCCTGCGCGTACGGCTATCAAGGGTCGGTAGTTGAGGCGCCGGAGTAGGAGCAGTGGTGCTCGCGACCACGGTGACAGTGATAGGTGAATCGTCGTCTTCGTCGTCGGTGTTGTAGGAGGTCCAAACAGACGATGATTTGCCATTCGAAGCTGAAGCGCGCGGCTCGGGTGGGTCCAGGGCGCGCGGAGGCAGTGCATGCATGATTGCCGCGTACAGTTTAAGATGCGTCGCGAGCGCGGGTCCGGGAAGTTTAGCGTATCGTGGTGGGGAGAATGCGAGCAAGTTCGAGAGCAAGTGTACACGTGATTCGACAGAAAGCGAGGATACGAGCGAACGAATGGATTCGGAAAGCACAGCGATGTTCGAGAGCGGAAGACTACTTGACAATTGCGGCAAGGATGCGAGAGGTACGCGATTGGGCAGAAGTGGGATCGGCAGTATGTGCTGCACGAGTTGCGAAAATGAAGCCAGGTATCCGGGTGAGTCGGTATTGAAGGTGCGGAGTGGATGACTGATGAGCGGGACCAGCAAAGGTAGCGTCTTGGACGTCTTTGCTGCGTCGAGTGGCTGTGGCGCAAAGTCAGCTTCTTTCACAGTCGAGGTGAGAACCTGGGAAGCTTACCGTATTTAGGATCGCTCTCGCAACATGATCATAGAATCCCCTTTGCAAGGTATACGCGGTCACCGCCGTACTGAGTTCAGGCCCTTGCGGACCTAAGGCTCGTGTAACTACAGTAGCCGATAGAACCGCATCAAGTACTCGGAGATGTGCTTCAGATCGTGTCACTCTAGCATAAACAATTAGTATTCACAGCTCATAACATAAAGTTAGCACATACTGCGGGTGATCCGCTACATCCTGCAGCAACAGGACACATATTTGCCGTACGAGCACAAGCCAGCTTTGACGATCTAAGCTCGAAACGCCATTCTGTAGCCACAAATCTATCATACAGTCAGCCTCAGATATCTGACAGCATCATAACAACGCACCGATGCCAACTCCCAGTACCGCAGACGACCATATGTCAAGGGCATCTGGCCTTTTGCCGATGAGCACGAGACACCTCATGCCGCGTATAGATAGAGGGTCAGATCTAAACATTTGCTGTAGCTGCATCCTAATATCCTTCGCCTCAAGACTCCCTCTCCACCAAGCCTGAATGCGCAGAGCAGCATCTTGCTGCCTACGGCGTTCCTCGCGCTCGCCGCGGCGCACCCTAGCCTGGTTCACGATCGCATCGTGAGACTGACTCGACGTTTGGCCGCCCAGGTTTATCCTCCTTCGTTTCTCGTTCCCGAATACAGGTAGCATGATATTGACGCGGGTGGTGGTGGTCAGAGGGCAAGACGAGGACGCGGCTACCATGACGCGTCGCTCGGTAATCGGCGCGCAGACGCGCGAACGTGACCGCGTGTCTCCGATATAATTCGCGTACCGACCGAGCTCCCGAACGTTCAGAACGTCTAGATACGTATGCGGAGCGGACTAGGAGCTACTCTCACGCGCAGCAGAGCCGTGTAGGTCCGTATATGTAGCTGCTCACTTCCGATACATACATATGAAGTCTCCGAAGTATAGCTAAAGTTATACCAACAGCCTTTAACAGCATGTATGCGTATAGGTGCGAGCTGCATCTACGCGCACTACGCAGACGGGGCTACTGTCGTACTCTGCGACTGCCATGGTGGTCATTGCCAAAGCGTCGAGACTCGGCGTGCGGAGCAGGTGCAGTTCGCGTCCTCAGTGGCACGCTGTCCCACGCTTCTTTTCCCGAACGCTCATGGGCATTGCGCACCGTTTCACCAGCTACAACTGCGCGCCGTCGTACTGCCAGCACCACTCTGCATCTTCCATTGGTATCTTGTACGCATGGTTCTCGTGTTCACATCTCTCGCGACGCGGCTCGGTTGCAGTATAGAGCTCTCGGAATACGTCCTCCGAAGCAGCCAATCTACCTATGTTTTGACCCTTTGCCTTTGCTCTCGACCTACAGAGGAACCGAAAGACAGGCACAGGAAATATATAGAAGAGAGAGATTGATATTTCCGGATGCGAGCCTTGTTTACTCTACACCGAAAGCTCAACGCAGTGCTCGGGCCGGATTGATTCCTCCATTCTGACGCTCCGTGCAACCCGAACGCTAGCCCGCTAGCCCTCGCTCATCAAACCTGCATCCCCACTCGGGCTTCTCGTAGCTTCTTGTTTTCTGCAAAGAGTCCAATTTTGGCCGAGAGATCGCCCGGCGCGCCCCTAGTTCATCTTCCGGACAATTGAGATGACGTTGAGTAGATTGATGCAAAAGCTGGGGGTCGCCAGGACCGCGCGCGTGAGCTCTATTCTCCCTCCTCCGTTGATTTCGCCAGGCGAGCACTTGGGCTGGCGAGGATGGCAGTCGTCGTAGCTCCGGAGAGCGCCACTGTGTTGGCAGAGCAGATGGACGAGTTTCTGGCGAGTATGCACTACGCCGTATACGACCTGATGCTCCCTCAGCTTGTCGAGACATTTGCGTTCGGTGCGTCGCGCTTCGCTTTGGACCCGCCAGAATAATGCTAATGAAGCCTTAGGTCTTTTCACTTTCCTGATTATCGTATCATCGTGTACCATCATGTTCGTCCCTACCTTCACCCTACCCAAGGATGGTGTTAAGGCCTAGCTCGCAGAAACAAAGGGTTGGATACTCGGCCGAACCGCATCATGCTCGCAACTACGCTTGTCATGTACAGCGTCGCGGCGATCAAGTGGGCTCTTTGTTTCGCAATTGTCTGGGGTGACTTCACCAGAGTGCTCCCTCAGACGCTTACGCTCGGCACGAACAACGCATCCGTTGCTAGTGCGAGGTACAAGCTCAACGAGCTTATATACGTTTCTCAAGTGATGATCGTTATCAACGTGCGTGTACTCCTTGCACTTCATAGTCAAATACCTGACTATCGTTGACTCCAGATTCTCCTCAGCGATGTCGTTGTCTTGTGGCGAGTATGCGCTATTTGGCTATGGGACCGACGCGTCATAGTACTTTCATCTGTCTTCCATTTGGCGGTCTTCAGTGAGTCCATTCCCTAAGACTTCTTTCCTGGCTACAGGTACCTATCTCTGAGGGGTTTTCAGTCCCATTCGTGTTCGTTCTTATCGAAGACGTCGAGAGAATCCTCAGTGGTCGTATCCCCGGGATCGAGGTTGAGACTGCTGTGCGCGTCATAACGCCGATATCCCTTTCAATCCCGCTTGCTCTGAACATCTGGGCTACCGGCATGATCTGGTATAAGGCTCGGTGCGTTTGCATTGTGATCAATCTGCCCTATGAGATACTCAATCAACGCGGGCAGTGTACACAAGCGCTTGATAGCGCTTGACCCTCGCTTCAAGACAAGATCCGTTCTTTCAGTCATGGTTGTACTGGTCGAGTCAGGCGTCGGGTACTGCATACTCTGGGTGAGGTTTCTACAAAACCATATAGACAATAACTTATGCTATCCCTAGGCCATCTATTTCGCTAGTAACTACAGCTCCCTCGGCCTCTTTGGAGTGTGCTACCAGATCATCATCGCGCAGCTCACAGTACGTGTCTTGGTATCTTTTCTGTACTCCGCTCATCCGTTGCATAGGGAATGTACCCTGTGGTCGTTATCCTACTGGTGGCGCGCAAAACGCACGGCTTCGTCGAAAAGTCCTGGTCCTCTTCTGGCATCCTCGGTCTCTCCTCAGACTTCTTGGCCGCCGCGCCGCCCAGCTCCTCGTTACCGTTGCTCATGGGAGTCTCTCCAGTGAGCCCTTCCCCGTCACAAGCATTTCTCGTGCAGCCGCCACGACCACCAATGCTTGAGGCACGTATACCACCACGCAGGCGTACGGACTGATGCGCGCCACTGGCGCATCGTTGCCTTCCTTATGATGAGTCCAACTATGGACAATGGGCACTCTCAACGCCTTTGTATACTATCAGCTACCCAGCATGAACTGAGATGGTCTCTCCAATGATGGCGCGCAGTGAGACGGCGCTTGAATGAAGTTGACAATGACAGGAAGTCAAATATTCGAATGCCAGTCATGCCGTGCGAATTTCTGATGGCGCACACCACGCGCTTTGGGGCGCATGCTCGACTACTTAGCTGACTTGGATCGCATTCATCGCGGGGTGCTTTGACGGCTTCTGCGCCTCGTGCTCTCGACCTTTCCTTTTCGGTCGGTTCAGAAGCTGTCAAGCAGGTCATCCTGAGATCGATGTCATACGATAAAGTCTAGCTCAACACGTCCCTGTCCGGTACGATGGTTTCTCAGCAAGCAGCAGTGCGCGGCGAACGGTGTACCTGGCGGCGAAGTGTCTCTGGAAAAGTTTGGCTAGCTTCTCCGGCAAGAAGAATCGTGACGATGCAATCATCCAGGAACGCTTTCGGCAAGGGACTTTCTATGCGCTTGCTTCTGTTTGCATGCGCGTCAAGATCGAGTGGAGAGAGCTGTCAAATGGATCTGCGCCTGCCGTTACGAACCACCACCGGCAAGATATACAAAGGCTTGGACCATTCGTACGCCGCAGTTGCCTTTCACCTTCATCTTCCCCTTTGCTCTCGTTTGTCAACTTTACCGCCGGCGCCACACACGAATTAGATCAAGATAATGCAATACGACGCGCTCAAGTGCGTACATCATCGTCTACATGTTCTGATGTCAGTGAACTGACTTCATGTCTGGATGCAGCTCTATGGACATCGACGTTGGGTACCCGTCACCGGGTTATGCGTGGCCGTCATTCTTGGGCGCGCCTGTCGGAGTCGAATCAGAAAAGCCTGCATTTGATCTGGAGCGCGAGGTCGTGAGTGCATATATGCGCATACATTCGGCTGTCATAGATTCATCTACTTGCTAGTGCTCCAACTTCACCTGCTGCGGTCTTATTCTGCCCGACATGCACGCGCTCGTCGACCATTTCGAGGAGACACACGTATTCGCTCCCAAGCCAGAGCATACGCGCCTCTACGTTCTCCCTGAAGACCGTCCGCCCGCTCCTTTGCCTCGCCTTGTGATCCCATTCCCTCGCTTTCTGACCCCGCCACCTGCCGACCGCGTACCGGTATCATACGATTCGCCGTCTTCGCCGCTGTGGTCGGATGGTCTTCCCAGTCCTGTCATACCGAGCGACTACCTACCCTCGTATCTGGAGCAACCTCACGCCTCACCCTCATCCTCGCACCCGCCCGCGTTCTTCAGCCCCAACGCGCCTCGCAAGCGGCCTTCAAAGTTGAAGGTCAGGGAGCGCGTGGACGATCGCTCCAAGAGGCGAAGATCAGGATCTTCGCCTTCCAAGCGCGAGCGCGAGCGTGCACCTCGTCCGCGCGACCGCGGCCGTATTCACGTTTGTCCCGTACGTCTCTGCCCTATTATATCTGTACCCGTATCCTCAAGGCTTACCATCCTATGCATGCAGCATCCGGATTGCGTCAAGGTAGAGAGCGCTATGCCTACGACCTACCGTACACCTTCTGACATCTCTGTAGACGTACCTGAACCCGAACGGGCTCAAGTACCACGTCGAAAAAGGCACTTGTCAAGCTCAAGATGGTAGCGCAATCGAGCGCATCGAAGTCTTGCAATATTCTGCATGATGCTGACAAAAGTCGGACTTGTCCGTCACTCTGGGCTCATTCACCTGACGCTGCCTTACTGTATCCCTCACTGCTTCCTCTCATCCTCCCCCTTCCAAGTCCACGTTGCTGTCTACCTGCTTTGCTCCCTGTTCCACCCCGTCACACCAATGCTCTCGCTGTCCTCTTCGTCGATCTTGCTGCCATCACGCGCGCTGCCGCCCATGCAGTTCCCCGTCTCTTCCTGTTGTACTGTACCTCGCCTCTATTGATATCCGACCCTGCGCGTGTACGCCCTGCCTGACAGATCTCAACGCACTTGCCCGAGCGTCGAGCGATCATCGCTCGCTCTATCCAGCGTTTGACCTTCTGCACCCACAGGCACTGACCCAATCCTGCGCGCCTTTCCTGCGTCCCGTTCACATCGGGTGGCTCGGGCACAGCTTCTCGAGGCTCGGGCAGGTGGCCCTATACAACGTTGGTGGAGCATCGAGCGCCGACCGCATCGCCAGATTTGGGCTCCTGCATCAAGGCCGTCGCTATATGCAGAAGCACGCCTACGCTTATCACGACGGGCTTCAACCGCAGCGCGTTCTCTGCAGAACGCCTTTCTCAGCGTCGTGCATAGGACAAGCCGATTGGCAGAGGGCGAAGGCTGAGCGACGCCCGGGTTTGGTATTGGACGGCCACAATCCAGTAGACATCAGAGAAGGTCTGGGCTTCGGTGGTAACGGGATATATGCGCGCTCAGGAGACCGCGCACGCATACACTCGCGGCTCCGCGAGCGATCTGCCCTCCCTTCTTCGTACGGGCGCCCCAGATCTTCTTCCACAACACATTCTGCGAGCTTTTTAGCATTTGAAATCCAAGATGTATGGCATGGGGTGTACACGTACGAGGACCGGCCCCGTGTCGAGTCCGGTGAGTAGATTTGCGCAATTGTGGCTCTGCTTCGGCGTGAACGTGATGAGACGATCCTCGCCGTTGCACCGCACGGCGACGCTTACTTCGCGTGCGTTGTTGGTGTGATATTACGTGCCGTCCTGTCACTGACATTCGAGCTTTCAAACATGCTTGGATCAGCGGAGAGCGGCTGACCCGACGGGTGAGTCGGCGAACGTAGATGCTGTAGTCAGTATCTTTTTGGGGTCTCGTGGATGTAGAGCTCTATGCTCTTCAGGGGTGTTCACGAGCAACATCTTCACCGCGGCCTCAGGTTAGAGAAACGATATTGAGGTAGCATTATTGAAGCTTGAATTCGCGCCTTGTCGGCGGAAGTGCGTTTCAAGCTTTTAGAGTACAATGCTGTGCCTGTATGCGCTTTCATATTGACATCGTGTCGAGCTCAGGAGTCTGAGATCGCCCTGGACCTGACGTTATACTTGCATGCAGGCACATAAGCTTCAGAGTGTGCCAGACGTGAATTCATCAACGCAGAGCAGGCCTGCTTGGGTGAGAGCGTGTAAACAGGACATGTAAGTAGACCTTCGCGTAGGAAGAAAGCCGTTCGGCCCATCTTCACGGGATCGGATACGGAAGAGGCCTATGTCCGCGGTCGGACAGCTATTGGGCCGTAAGTCTCAGATCACAGAGCGCAGGAAGAAGACTCGCAACGCCCGCGGCCTCTGTACATGTTCATCAACAAGACAGGATACATAGAGAAGGATTCGTATGGAGCGCCGCAGCTATACCGCCGAGCGGGTGTACGGGAAGACAGTCGGCCGCGCGCCGCACGGTACGGGCGTAGAGCGATACGAGACAAACTCGGGTGCCAGCCTCGTCGGGCTCTACGAGTGCCAGATGCAGACCCGCGTGGAGTCCTTTGTACGGCCGGTCCTCAAACGGAAGGAGGTCTCGAGCGGCCGCTACGTGCCAAAGTCAGAAACGCA